CTTGGGCTTTAATTAGGCCCCATGATCAGGGATCACCCAGGAAAGTTTAGTAATTAGGTTCCCAGGATAACACCAGGGGATGGATCCTTGGCTGGCAGGCTTATTTCCAGCTTAAATGCTCATCCCACACCCAGAGTCTCCCTTGTGTTGCAGAGGGCTCTCAACTTCTGGTCCTGCCTCATTGGGATGGCCTCCCATCTCTTTCAAGTTCTCACAGTGCCCCTACCCTTTCCTATGATCCCACGGGTCCTCTGGTTTCACTATGTCTGTGTAGGAGACAGGACAGGATGCAAATCTTGTCTCAGACTCCCAATTGCCGGAAACTTCATTTCTCTCCCTGCACAGATTAACTCCTAGTGTGTCCAGCCCTTAGGGACTTTTGAGTCTGTTCCATCATGGACACTGCCCCCAGTCAGAGATGGCTAGACCTTCATACCTGGTATCCTCCACAGATGCAGATCAGTGGAACCTAGTCAATGAAAGTGGCCCTGACTGTGTTGACGCACTGCCCATAGAATGCTTCCCCACACACAGGGGCCATTGGAACTCTGCTCTTTGTCAGGACTTGAACTGGCAGTTCTGAGTCTGGTACCACCAAGAAAAGCCATGAGAGGCTCCTCCATCTATCCTTCTTCAGCCACAACAGAGATGGAAGGGAGAGAATCTGTAATAGAGGAGAACAAATCTGACTCTATATTGGATCTGTTCCTTTAGTTTTAACTATTGTGCCCTGTTTTCTAGGCTTAGTCTTGCTAGCTCTGCACCTTTTGTGAAACAGTGTTGCCTTTGGCCTGGAATATACAGGAGAGCCTATTCTCTGGGCTCTGACCTTTAAGGATGTTAGCACTCGTGCGCTTATGTAGAGATAGCAAGTTGCAAAATAGAGAATAACCTTTGTTTAGTTGGAGGTTTACAGGGACACCATGGCCTGACCCACATGGACGGCTGCAAGAACATACAATTCCTACAGCAGGAAGTTTGCAACAACCAACCACACCCACTCCCCTGGTTTTTTTTTTTGGTTTTTGGTTTTTTTTTTTATAAAAGGAGCTTGTATTCTGACTGAAGCAGGATGGTTCTCCAAGACATTAGTCTGCCATTCTCTCAGTCTGCTGGCTTTCCGAATAAAGTCACTATTCCTTGCCCTAACACCTTGTCTCCTGCTTCATTGGCCTGTCGTGCGGCAAGCATAACAAGTTTATCCAACTGCTACATCAACCTATGGCCATTCAAAGAGCTCATCCTGACACTTCAGTGCCCTCTTCCTCAGCTTTGAGCTATATGACTACATTTAAGGGGCTGATAGTTTCCTAAGTCAAGAATCTGATACTTTGTGTTTCCTTCCTGCTCCTCCCATCTGTCCTCTCCTATGCCACCCAATTCTTCTTACTCGGAGCTGGGCTATTACTAGCCTCTTTGCCTAGAGTGGGACTAGTCCTGCCCCTTCCTCATCAACACTGTCCCCAGAGCTCCAGTGCCGGACAACCCCAAAAGTAGTTGCTACACGGAAGTGTCCCCTCAGGCCTCAACATCCACATAGCAAAGCTTTGCTAGTACGCAATTAAGTGACACTTTGAGAGGCTCCAAGTACAAGCAGAACAACACTGAAATAATCCCTGGCTTCAGTGAGTTCCCAGTCCAACGAGGGAAGACAAAGCCCAGGAGCTTGTAAGGAACCAGGAAATCATCAAGAGGACACTATTCCCAGTTGATAACATATTTGAATGCTCCCAGCTGTGTTGGCACCGTTAATCACCCCTCCTTCTGGAAAGACTTTCTTCTCTTGGTTTCTTGGATCCTGCACTCTCCTCTTTTTCCTCCTACTTCCTCTTCCTGGTCTCTACATGATGGGTGTGCTCACTCCCGAGGGGATCAACTCTAGTCCCATGATTTTATATACCCTCTAGAGGCCAGAGGTTCCCAAATACATTCCCTATCCCGGCCTCTTCACTAACCTGCAGTTTTACAACTGCCCATGCCACATCTCCACTGGTTTATCTAACAAGATATAACAAGATTTCTCCATTGTCTCCCACCAAGTGTGCTCCTCCTGCAGCATTTCCTGCCCAGGCAAAAGACTCCATCATCCATCCAAACGCTCAGGCCTAGGAGTCACCACTCACTCACTCACTCTCACATTCCATTCCAATCCATCAGCAACTCTCACTGGTTCTATGAGAACCAATCAGATCACTCCTCCCACCTCCAAGCCACCAGCATCTCACTCTCAGACCACCACGACAGTCTCTTAACTGCCTCCCTAGCTCCATGCAAGTCTCCCTATAGTCAGTTCTCCACACAGCAGTCAGATCATGATACTCCCCTACTCAGCACCCTCCATTACACACAGAATAAAACCCAACTCCTCACCACGACCTGTAAGGCCCTGCCTCACCCAGCCCTGCCTATTGTCCCAAATCCCCTGCTGTTCCGCTGTGTCTCACCCTCCACTCTCCGCTTGTTGGCCTACTTGCTGTTGCATCCACACCAAGTTCATTCCTGCCTCAGGGTCTTTGCAATAGCCAGTTCCTCTGCCTTGAATAGAGCTCTTCCTCCAGATTTCTCAAGACTCACACCATAACTTCATTCTGTTCTCTGCTTACATTTTACCTCTACAAAGAGGCCTTCCTTGACTACTTGATGATCCTATATGAAATAACCCTCCACCCCAATCTCTCCATCTCATGAACTCTGCTCATTTTTCTCCAAGTTAAAATCAGTATCAGTCATTTCTGTCTTCGTCTCTCACTAGAATGAAAATTACACCAAGCCAGGACTTTGCCTCTTTCATCACTCCAGGAGTGTATGTTGAATGAACAGATTTCATGTCTGATACATTAATCAGATCAATGTTAGCCACACTGACATAGGTTACATTCTTTTCTCAGGAAGGGGACTTAATCTCTCATAAAAACATAGTATACGAGGTGGTTACAATATTGATCAAGGCCCTAATGCCCAACTTTTAAAGAAATATGATCAAGCCCCATACTTAGTTACAAGTTATATATCAAGCAACATAAAGCTCTCTAAAACACATGTGCTTTCATTAGAAAAGAATCACAATGAAGCATCTGTAAACACAACTTGATGTGATAAAGCATCACAGTTCATTGTTAAAAGTTATTTTAGCAAAACCAGAATGGACATCTTCAATAAGGTCATGAAATTCAGATACAAGATTTTCCACAGGTATCTATAAAAGAATGCTCGTAAGAATTACAAGATTTCTTGCCCTTTTAATAAGTCTATCAAGAAACGTTTATGCTTGCTGAAGGTCCCTGCATCATCTGTCAGGGGCCCGCTGGTTCAGATTTTTGGGGGACCCCAGAGAAGGGCACTGAGTTCTGGATGGTCTCTGTACATACCGGATTCATGGCTGTGCTCGTGAGGCCCCATTTCCTCACCCAGCAGGGAAAAGAGTACTAGATGATTTCTGCAGTCCTGTCCGCTATAGGTTTTACAACAGAAGTTTGTCCTCTTTTCCTCATTGCAAACCTCCCTGTCATGAGCCTCAAGATGGTAACTACACAGAAAGGGCTTCCTGAATAGCCCACTCCTTAGCACCAAGGCTCTGCCTTCAGCTTGATTTTAGCCGAGGTACACCTGCCTTTAAAATAAAGAGACTCACATTCATTTTTCCATCCTTTGATTGTCTGCTTCTGCTGCTTCGCCACATCATGGCTTCAGGGCTTTGCCTTTTACAGGAGCCATGCTCAGACATACAGAGTGTTTGCTTTGATCCAGCCTCCCCTGAGTCCTAAAATAATGCCTCCCATCTCAGCCACAGGTTCTGGATTTTCTTCCAGGCAGGGGTAGGACACCACTACTTTTGTCCTTTATCAGCCACATTAGAGTCCAATTTCACAGTCATTTTTTAAAATTCCTTTTAAAGTTACAGGATTTATTTTCTTATCAAAAGAGGAGCACTTACATACTTAGTTTTGTCTTTCCAAGTAGTCTAAGAGATCACTCACTCACTGCAGTGATGGGGTCATAGTTCAAAGCAGCTTTAGAACCACGGAGGGACAGAGTCAGTGCTATAAAATCACAGGCCACAGTTCCCTTCACTAATTCCTCTTTCCCGTCTTCTTCCTTCTCACTTTCTTTGCTTCACCGGAAGTGGCTGTGGCCCCATCAGCCTCCTTTGCGCTGACAGTGAACAGACTGCCCTCAGGCTGACGCTGGCTGAGGTTCCCTGCAGAGCTATAACCATGAGGGTCAGCATGGTGCCAAAGGAAAATCCATCTCCCTCACTGGCTAAAGCTGCAGAAAGCAATGGATACCCTCAAATCACACATATGAAATCCCAAAAGATCACCCACATGTTTGACATACTATTTCAAATCTATTTCAAATAATATTATTTGAAATATTATTCGCCATTGTATAGCTGCCCAAAGAAGGCACCATTTAAACAGACTCACTCTGTTATTCTCAGGTGGGACTTCTCACCGAACAGAGTGAAGATGACCACGTCTGTGCACGTGGATGGGTGTTCTTGGTCAGGACCTGGAACAGCTGGGCTCACATTAACACAGAGTTCTACCTGTGCTCAGATCCCGATGATGGCTGCTTGCCAAGGAACCACAGAGTCAAAGGGAAATCAAAACCAGAGCAGCCTCCTGGAGCAGCAGAGGAGAAAGTCCGGGGCAGTTTGGAAGACAGAGCGCCATGGTTAGCAGTGTGAACAGTTTCTAGCAGAGGCCAGAGCACCCAGCAGGAGGTAAATCAAGCTTGTTTTCTCGCTGGCTCTATCAGTGGCTCCCACTGACTTCACCAGTTCTAGAATCCTGACCAGCCAAGCCAAGGTCAACAGATCATGCTAAAGCATGCTGACTTCACCCCCACCTGCCCAGGCACCTAGCCAGGTGTCACCTCACCTTGGGGGCACTGGTCCCTCCCAGCCACCCAGGAAGACGCACAGTTCCCTCCTGGCAGCTCCTCGGATGGACTGAGGGGGGAGGGTCAGCAGCATAGTTTAAACTCTGCCCACTCACCAATGTCTCCTCTGCTGTTTGTTGTGGCAACTGGGCTGGGAGGACAAGGAAAGATGACCTGGAGGTCTGCCTCCCTGTGGGGTGCCCTCAGCTGGGACGCTCCTGGAGCTGTTCTGAACTGCAGCAGGGGTGGCCGATTTGGCAGCCACCTGGCGGGTGCCTGGAGGGAAGGAGGACAGGAAAGCCGAGTCAGGGACCAACTCACAGAGCAGGAGCGGCGGGAGGAGCACATCCCTCAGAGAGGCTGGTGGAAATGTCCCAGGGACAATAGTTGCCTTTATGACCGAGTGTGGGGGTTACAGGTTTAGAGTTCAGGGAACAATAGTTAGGAGGAGAACCAGAACAAGGTGCCTCCTTCCTCCACAGAAGACAGATGCTAGAGAATCCAGGAGGGTGGAGCTGCTGAGAGGCCCTGGCAGGCTGAGGGAGGAAGGCCCTGGGGCAGGGTACTCAGGAAGATGTTGGGGCCTCTGGAGGGAGCTGGCTCCTGGGCAGTCAAGGGCCTGGCTTCGGTGACATGACCAGAGGAAGGAGTTGCTGACAGGACAGGAAGAAAGTACCCACGCCTGGGATAAGCCTGTCCTCAGGAATGAGTGAGTCCCCACCCACAACTGTCCCAGGACCCAACCCACATCCCACCTCCCGCCCCAAGAACCCACACCCAGGCAGCCAGCCCACAGGTCCCACCCCTCAGCCTTGGCCAGGCTCCTGAAGTTCACCCCTCGCCCTGCCATCAGAAACCTGTTTCCCTCCAGCAGCAAACCTCATATACTTCTTAAAAGGGAAACAAATACTTATGTTAAGTAGTAACTCCATTATCTCAATGTACAAATGAGTTATCTCTGATAATGTGCTGTCCTTCCAGGAAAGGATTCTTTGTAAACCCAAAGAAAGTCAAGCTCTCGCAACAGAATTTCAATAGAGAGACTTGCAGACAGAAAGGTCCTTATGCATGCCTTCAGTCACACAGGAGAGCTAGAGGTGGACGCTCCATCTAGGGTGGTGGTCCCCCACACTTTGAAGAGGAAATGGGAGTGACTGGGCCCTCAGAGGAGAGGTGGGATGGGCTGGAATCCTCACTCAGTCAGTCCCGTGGCTACATGTTCTTTTCCACCTGGACAGGGAGCTTCGGCAGAAGCTGATCCCAAGAGTGCTGGCCCCATCTGAACCCAGTTGCTCCTGGTAATCCATGCGGCCACAGGACCAGGTGGGAGCTGGAGCAGGATGGTGTTCCTATAAGTAACGGTCTCTGCATCTCTCGTGGGCTCAACCCATCAGTCCCAGCAGAACTTCTCTCAACCCAGTAGGCTCAGTCCATCTGCTGCCCCTCTCCTCAAGGAATCCCCACCTTTGTTTAAGGGCTCAGGGGCCTGTGGCTCTTAGCTCCTTGCCCCGATTCCACCTCCAGCTTGAGCACACACGGCACCTCATCCTCACCGGCTACTCTTCCACTGACGGCCAGCAGGGGGCGCCTCCTCACCTGCTGCTCCTCCTGTGCCTCAGGCCCACATCCTACCCTGTGCCCCCAGGAGCCCAGCAGGCCCCACTATGTCCATTCTTTTGTCCAGCGGATTAGGCTACTTCCGGCTCTAATCTTTTCACAGCTCAGCTGTACCAAGGATTGTTTCTAAAAGGACCCAAAGTTACTCACAAGAAAATATAAAATTAAGCTGATTACTTAAAAATTAAAACTATAAAAGCTGGTAATACAAATGGTTTTCTAAACTAATTCTCCAAACTTATCAAGCAACACATCTATCCCTGAGTTCCATGACACTCACGGTAAAAAAAAAACCAAAAACCAAAAAACAAAAAACTGGGTACATAATTCTCCCTGCAGTATGAGGATGCAAAGATACTTCATCAGGAAGCAGGACCCTCCAGTGCTAATCTCTACACAGAGGAGACTGAACAATCCCATGGACGATCTCACTCTTAGGGTTTTCGGAAAGGAATGCTCACCACCTGGCCCCTTTTTTAATATCAACATCTAATGAAAGCAAGGAAAATATTAAAACATGATGAGATTTTTGCAAGGAGCTATGGCAATGTGGTTTGGGCAAGGGTCTGGTAGCTTAATACAAGACACGGTGGTTGTCAGGGCACCTCACCATCCATTCTGCAGGGAAGGAGGGAGGGGGAATGTTCGAGGGGAGGAACACCGGGAAGTGCGGCAGGGTTATTAATTGCCATAATGACTGTAGATGAGAAAAGAGGGCAAGGACAATGATATACTATATTAAACCGAATACTCAGTATAAAGAATTATCTCATCTAAAATGCTAATAGTGCCCCTGTTGAGAAACACTGGAAGGGGAATCAGTAACTGGCATGACTCTTCTATTGCATTAAGTACCAGTTAAGTCTTCACAGGGAGTTGACAGCAATGACTGCAAGAGTAGCTGCTCTGGGAATACAGATAAAGGGGATGCCAGGCTTCTGATGTGTCAGTCCTGCAGGTGGTGACATGCATATCACCTTATGAGGGTTTGGAGCCCTGAGTACTGTTGGCTGATGAAAGAGCTGGATGATGGTGAGCTACAGGCATGCCCATGGAATGGGACCAATCTCTCCTGTTTTTTATTTCTTCATATGTTTAAATGAGGACACAGCTGGGAAACCAAAACAGCATATCAACACATCACAAGAGAAACTAGTCTACAGCACTGGTTCTCAAAGTGTGGTCCCCAACTAGCAACACCTGGGAACTTGCTGAAACAAGATCTGCTGAAGAGAAACTCTGAGCCATGTGTGTTTTAACGAGCCCTCCTGGTGAGTCTGATGCAAGCTCAAGTTTAAGAACTACCAGTCTAGAAGGTTTGGGGATAAACATGGCGGTCACCAGAGATATTTTAGAAATGCTTCCTCACCTCTGTCTATGAGACACTGAGAGGGAGGGGAAGGGGGCAACATGTCTGGTGCAGGCAAATGATCAGAAGTGGAGGGCATGAGGGGGAAGACCTAAGTGAAGAGAAATGGGAGCAAAGTGTATATTATCAGAGGCCAATCTAAGTCTTAAGTCAGATTAACCATCCTAGAAGGATTTTTTTCAATTGAAGTATAGTTGATTTACAGTATTATATTAGTCTGAGGTGTATAGCACAGTGATTTAGTAGTTTTATAGATTATGCTCCATTTAACGGTGTTACAAAATAATGGCTATACTTCCCTATGCTATACAATATATCCTTGTTGATTATCTATTTTATACATGGTACTTTGTATCTCTTAATTCCATACCCCTATTTTGCCTCTCCTCTCTTCCCTCTACACTGGTATCCACTAGTTTGTTTTTGTATATTGGTGAGTCTATTTCTGTTTTGCTATATACATTCTTTTTAATTTTCAGATTCCACATGTAAGTGATAACATATCATATTTGTTCTTCTCTGTCTGACTTATTTCACTAAACATAATAGTTTCATGGTCCATCCACATTGTTGCAAATGGCAGAATTTCATTCTTTTTATGGCTCAGTAATATTCCACATCTTTATGCATTCATCTGTTGATGGACACTGGGTTACTTCCATATCTTGGCTAATGTAAATAGTGCTGCTATGAACATTACAGTGGATGTATCTTTACAAATTGGTGTTTTCATTTTTTTCAGACATATACCCAGGAGTGGAATTACTGGATCATATGATAGTTCTATTTTTAATTTTTTGAGGAACCTCCATACTGTTTTCCATAGTGGCTATACCAATTTACATTCCCACCAACAGTGTACAAGGGTTCCCTTTCCTCCATATCCTCACCAACATTTGTTATTTGTAGACTTTTTGGTGATAACCATCCTGACAGGCATGAGGTGATATCTCACTGTTGTTTTGATTTGCATTTCTCTAATAATTAGCAATGTTAAGCATCTTTTGGTATGCCTATTAGCCATCAGTATGTCTTCTCTGGAAAAATATCTATTCAAGTCTTCTGCCTATTTCTTGATTGGATTATTTGTTGTTGTTGTTGTTGTTTTTATTATATTGAGTTGTTTGAGCTGTTTCTATATTTTGGATATTAACCCCTTGTCAGTCGCATCATTTGCAAATATTTCCTAGTAGATTGTCTTTTCATTTTGTTGATGGTTTCCTTTGCTATGCAAAGGCTTTTGAATTTAGTTAGGTCCCAATTGTTTGTTTTTGCTTTTATTTCTTTTGCATTAGGAGACAGGTCCCCCAAAATATTGCTACAATTTATGTCAAAGAATGTTCTGTTTATGTTCCCTTCTAGGAGTTTTATGGTTTCATGTCTTACATTTAGGTATTTTATCCATTTTGAGTTTGTTTCTTAATCTGCTCAGTTGAGTTTTTAACATATATATATATATATATATTTAATTTAAAGTATAGTCAGCTTTACAATGTTGTATCAGTTTCTGGTGTACAGCATAATGCTTCAGTCATACATGAACATACATATATTCGTTTTCATATTCTTTTTCACCATAAGTTAGTTACTACAAGACATTGAATGTAGTTCCCTGTGCTATACAGTATAAACTTCTTGTTAATTATATCTGTAGTCACGTAGGCTCAAACACTTCCTAAGAAGAATGAAAAAAAGAGAGAGAGAAAAAATCTATTATTTTCTTGCTCCCCTCTACCACCTTTTATGATTTTGATGTCTTTTTTTTTTAATATCTTCATGTTTATTCTCTTGCAACTCATTGTAGTTCTCTCATTTCCAATTATGGTTTTCTTGTTTCTATAGCTTCCTGCTTCTTTTCTATTTAGAGTAGACCTTTCAATATTCCTTTTAGCAAAGGTTTAGTATTGCTGAACTCTTTCAGTTTTTGCTTGTCTGTGAAATTCTTTATCTCTCCTACTCTAAAGGATAGTCTTGCCAGATAGAGTATCCTAGGTTGCAGCTTTTTCTCATTCAGGACTTTGAATATCTTGCCACTCCCTTCTAGCCAGCAGTGTTTGTGTGGAGAAACCAGCTGAAAGTATTATGGGGGTTCCCTTGTAACTAACTCTGTGTTTTTCTCTTGCTGCCTTTAGAATCATTTCTTTAACTTTGGCCATCTTAATTATAAAATGTCTTGGTGTAGGTCTGTTTGGGTTCTTCTTGATTGGGACCCTCTGTGCTTCCTGTACTTGGATATCTGTTTCCTTCTTTAGGTTTGGAAAGTTTTCAGTTGTAATTTCTTCAAA